GTGTGTGTGTGTGTGTGTGGATGGATGGATGGATATAGATAAACCAATTCATAAACCCAATTTCTTTCCTTATATTTACACTTTTCTTACACTCATTTAAAAAATCTAATGATCTTATTCATTTAGTGAAATAAACTAATTTTATTAAGATAATCAAGATTTTGGGTTAAAAATGGTCAATATACTCTATAATGAGAAGTGAATTTTACCATTTTTAATGATTTTTAATTACCCTTTTCCTTCAGTAATTCATTTTGGTGGCCTTTTAAAAGTATTTCATGTCAAATACCCATAAACCAAACAAATGAGTCAAGAAGTTATCATGTGCAAGTCTAATGTTTTCATAATGTTTTTGTTTAGATTATAAACACTTTTTTTCTCTCTTTATCAGGGCTTCCTGTGTTGTTGACGTGTATCTAGCGGTTATTCTGTGGACATCTCTGCCGATCATGCCAGGGCTCTACAACAAGTACACACACACACACACCGAGACATGCGCAGACCCCTACAACACCCACCGCACAGGACCCCCGAAACCTCCTGCCAAACTCAAGTGGGCACAAAACACAGGAACTGTTTATTTCTGAAAGCTGTGTTCTCTGGTTTCACAATGTACATTTAACAAAGACTTCAAGTATGTTCAGTGTGACTTCAGAAATACCTGAACAAAGAAAAATAGGACACAATCAAGAAAGACAGACAGAGAGAAAGAACACAAAGGCACTTCTCAAAGCTCTCAACTCCTCACTTTTATGTTAACACTTTGCATAGAGTATGTAATGTATGTACGTGGATTACAATGGCAAAGCTTTAAAATTACAACTTCATTCGTTTGCTTTTACAGTACTCATTGTAAGGATGTGAATACAAGTACAAGTATGCAAAAAAAGTAGCACATCATATCCAAACGCAGGCTGCTGCGTCACACATGCATTGGTTTCTATTTCAATCCGGAATCTGGAATTGCTTTGCATTGCAGTTCATCGGATGCGTTTCATATGGTGTAGGGATCGTTCTGGTAAAACACTGTTCAGCTAGTTGCTTTTCAGTTCTTATACTTCCTGCATGTGTGAGTATAGATTCATAAGCGCGTGTTTTTGCATTTACACTGGCCTCAGCACTTAACGGCCGTCAGCTTCAGTCATTGTCTCTGCGGGGTTGTTAGTCAGACTCTCGGATCGATAGAATATGTACAGGACAGCAAGGGACGAGTTATAAAGCCATTAGCATCTGTGAATTATGGAAATCCCACCCAGAGTGCCCTGGCCTGGAAGCCCCCCAGACTTTTAATTAGAGCACTAGAGCAATGCGAATGCTAGTGTGGAGCGTGGCGTGTTTGTTGTTTTAATTGCGTCGAATCTTTGGGTATCTGGTATTGTTTAATAAAGTTTAACAGCTCTGTATAGTATCTCAGTGGTGTTGGTCCAGCGTTAAATCCGTTTGAAGCTAGTCATAATGACCAGTTTTCATATTTTGTGTGGTAATATGCTGGTTTGTAAATTGCTTTATTCAATGCTTTATGAAATTACTTTAAAATGTAAATACGTAGCGCTTCTTAACTGTTATTGAATCACCTTGTTTGTTCATTTAAATTGTTGAGGAGATGTTTAGAGTCACAGATGCTCAGAAAAAAGGATAGTTCACCCAAAAATGAAAATTCTGTCAGCATTTACTCACCGTCGAGTTGTTCCAAACCTGTATGAGTTTCTTTACCGTGTTGAACACAAAAGAAGATATTTTGAACAATGATGGTAAACAAACAGTTGACGGTAGCCATTGACTTCCATTGTATTTTTCCATACTAAGGAAGTCAATGGCTACCGTCAACTGTTTCATTCTTCAACATATCTTCTTTTGCCGAAAGAAATTCATACAGATTTGGAACAACTTGATGATGAGAATGACAGAATTTTCATTTTCTGGTGAAATCAGAAGCTGACACACTTTTATAGTATAATATCCCTTTAAATGTACTCAGCAACATGTTCCTCATTTCAAATCCAAATCAAACAATTTACAAACAATCTCTGCAAGCAATTCTATCCAGATATGACAGGGCCGTGATTTCTCACCCGACATGAATGTATTGATTCAGTCGATATAATCTGAACACCCCCATGCATAATTTACGCACAAGGGTTAAATCGTACGGCCCACCTGCCAATAATGGACTTGTTGTAGTTGATTCATGGTATGGTCAACATAATTTACTGTTCTCGAGGGCATCGCTTCAAACCGTGGTTCAATAGGAGGCCACAGAGTCGCTCTTGGAACGGCATCGATGTCATTTAGCATTTGCGATTTTACAGATAAACACAAACACTACAGTCTTTTGAGATTTATGTGCACAGTTATTAGCATGCTAAGTTAAACGTGTGTGTAGCCATTCATGTTTGCACTCGTTTTGGGGAACTATTTTACTTTGCAGTGATGTGAGCATTTGTAGATCATAGTACAAGGTTTTTTTTTTTTGTAGCAATTGTGAAGACCCATTGCTTATTTTATGTTAACCTTCTTTTAAGTTATTTCTACTTTCTGTATCTCTCTTTCTTCTTTTCTTTTTTTTATTAAAAACAATTAGACTTGTTTGAGGCGTTGTAATGGGATCTGCCGAGAACTGTTGAAAACTATATTCTATATTATTAAATATTGTCTATCCAGAAAATGGATAGTGGTGGAAAGTTTAAGATAAATGGTGACTGCTGGGCCAAGGGAAACTTGTCGATAAGATCCTAACATTTGCCATTTGAAATTATAGGTTGTTCATAGATTTAAACACAAGCATACATCTTACATAAACAGTAATATTCATACCTAAAAATTGCAGAAGCAGAAAAAAAAAAGACTCTTGACTCTCTTAAGTGATTGACACACAATACTTGATACTGTGCCAAATATTCATTTATTTCCTCAGTTTTTTGTTTGTTTGTTCCATTTTGTGACTTCTGACAAACCTTGTGTTTGGTAGATCTGCTGTAACGGCTGTAAAATGCAGTAAGATAGTTGCAGTGCATTTACTCTAGCTGTACCTCATGTGCTGCTGAATGTTGGACTGGGCTGAAACGGTCTAAAGGAAGACCCTCTTACTGTACTATACCTTCTGCAGCACCTATGAATGTTTTTCTTAAATATATTGTGTCTCATTTCCTAATAAAATGTATATATTCATCAACTGAGAAGTTGTTGTTTGTTAGCCTAACAGATACATTAATAGTGTGTTAAATATTTAAATTGGGTAAACAAATAGTAACATCTATTCAAACTAAAATATTGAAATTATGTATTTTAATTGTGATATATAGACCATAAAAGCAATTTGAGTTCTGATTTTATTTATTAATATTTTAATAAATGCATGAAAACATACACTACTGTTCAACAAGTTTGGGGTCGGTAAGATTTTTTAAAAATGTTTTTGAAGGAAGATTTTTATCTGATATTTTAAACGTTTCAACAGGTGTTAAAATTAGCATCACTGAGAAGAACCATTGATGACTGTTTGGTCGATTGTTTCAGATCGACTCGCATTAATTGATCAATCCAAAGTCATTATCGTTATGAGTCCATTTAATTGAGGTGTGTGTAGTTAAGACGTCCATAACAAACAGATGCTCAACAAACACACACACACTCACAGCCTCCCACCATCTGCTCTCTGATTTAGATGAAAGAGATCTGAGTAATGTCTGCCTGTAGACATCTGATCTCAAAGGAGCCATTAGTTAAAAGAGATTCATCAAACTGACAAAGACCACTTCATATGGAGCGCCTGCTGATTTGCTGTAGAATTATCAGAGTATGGTTTAACATTCATTGACCGTTCAAACAGCCTTTTCAACAGGTTAAGCATTAACTTGAAATGTAGCTTCCTATTAATTGTGATAAAGACAAAAATGTGAGTTGTGGCTTTATTTATTACTGTAAAATTTCATTAAATACAAGAACAATATTTTCAAAGGTTTGGGTTCGATAAGATTTTAAAAATGTTTTTGAAAGAAATCTCTAATGCTCACTAAAGCTGCATTTATTTAATCAATAATACAGTAAAACAGTAATATTGTGAAATATTATTAAAATTAAAAATAACTTTCTATTTTAATATATTTTAAAATTTAATTTGTATTTATTTCTTGCAGGTTAAGCATTGCAGACATTAACTTAAAAGGTAACAAAATATCCTTAATTTTATTTGTTTTTACCTCTTAATTTTTTTTTTTTAATAAAACATAATTGTATGTTGTTAAAAAGAGATTTTCAACATAACAGGACAAACTCAACATTCAAAACAGTGATTTTATTGTGCATTTTCAACATAATTCGTTTACAGATCATATACATTAGATTATATGCCTTTTAGATGTTAACATTTGACTGTATTTGCTATTTATAACTGAATTTATTTAATTATTCCGGGGAATATCTACCCTGTATTCAAGAGCTGTTAAAAATCAATAAATAATAGTATCTCTTTGCAGTGCATATGATGGCATAATTGAAAACATGCTGTTTTATTACTAAACCCGATCTGATTCTCAACCCCTACTTGATTTATGGACTGAGAGAGCTTCAGGTTAGTTCAACTTCACTCGCACAACATGAGATGCTTGTAAACGACAGCTGACATGATGACGACAACTGACTTCATTTGCTAAACAAGACATGCCTGTCTGTGAACCCTGATATTGCTGGACGAATTGTGCCATTGTAAGGCTAACAGACACTAACAAACACACATAATTCCATAATCAAATAGAAATAATCATAATAATAATAATAATAATAGAAAACTTTGGAAGAAAATAAGAAGGAACATACATCTACAGTGACAAATAAAATGACATAAAGAGAGATTAAGAATTCAGTTTGTTCACTATTTATGTATCTGCATTAACTGTATCTGTTTGTTATTCCTGCACTTTTATGAGCATTTATAATGCATTTTACCTCTAAATAAGTTTGTACAATATTAAATTCGAAGACAAATGGGTAACACTTTCTATGAAGCCTTTAAATAATGCAACATAAATGTTTTCTTAATCCCTTAAAATTGATTCATAATGCCTTGTAATACAATCTACTGTCAATGCTTGTAAATAAGTGTCACCAGTTTCACTATAATAAATTATAAAGGTTTATTCATAGTTATATATTTAGAGAATATACTGTAACACATTAAAATACTTTTCCAAATGAATTAATCAATAGTTTAATATTAAAAAGTGTTACAATGAGCATAATCTCTAGAATATGTGTTTTCTCATTTTTTTTTCTTATAGGGGCAATTTGTCACAATACATTTATAGCTTAGAATTTATTAATTGCATAAATGTATTAATATCCACTGCCCAAAACATTTTGTAGTATGCTACCTTTTACATTTTATTTGGCCATTTCATAAATTGTTTTGTAGTTCATATTTTTTTTACAGTTTAAATTTGTACTGTTTAGTAGTTAGTGGTAGTAAAACACCTAATGGGCTTTTTAGTGGCAGGTTCAATTTTGACAGCCTTTCTGTATCTTTTTCCTTGGCAAAAATGGTGGAAACGTTCAATAGACTTAATAGAAAGTGTTACCGAGAACGGTCAGCCTATATATTACTGTGTATCTGTATAATTCGAGGCCTCTTGTCTGTTTGTGTAGCGTGTATGGTCTGAATGAGCGTGTAAATTGAGCGTGAGTTCGCCTCAGATGTGATGCGGTCCCAGGCGCAGGACTGAGAAAGCTCTGCGGTGTTTGCGCAGCAGCTGTCGGATCTTCTCATCGTCCGTGTCGGGGTCCAGCGGTTTGTTGTACTCCTCGTCCTCCACCTCGTTTTCCGAGCCGTCTCCGCCGCTCTCTCCCCGCGAGGCCTGCGTGGAACTGGGCTCCGTCGCACTCTTCTTCCGCCACTTCGTGCGCCGGTTCTGGAACCACACCTGAGAGGAATCACAAACACGCAGGTGATGTGAAAACTCATTACAGATCATCAAAATAAATACCTTCTCATCATAAAAGTGTTTGAATGTCAGTAATGTAGACAGAACCTACGTATGTTTAGCTTTCCAACTACTTTAGCAAAGTTAGGCTGCACCAATTAATAAGTTACCCTGGTATGTTTTATATTGAATAGTGCTCAAATGCAGAACTATATATTACTAGTATGTTATCTTACTTTAACTTGTGACTCAGTCATGCCTAGTGAGTATGCCAGTCTGGCTCTCTCTGGTCCTGCCAGGTACTTGGTCTGCTCGAAGGTTTTCTCCAGAGCGAAGATCTGGTGCCCACTGAACGTGGGTCTGGTGTGCTTCTTTTTCCCCACAGTCTCAGTGTGATGCCCGCCATCTACAGAGAAAACAAGACTGTGTATCATCTCCTGTGTGCATCTGCTGACACCTTTCATCTCAATTTCTATGCTTTGTTTATAACCTTGTGAGTTGTGACTCCATGAACCAATTTTTAAAATCGATGAAGCATAAACTGGTAAAATGGAAACAAATAAGTAAATAATTAAATTTACATTGACATTGACATTTTATGTTAGAAACATTTTCTTTAAAATGTGTCAGCTTTTACAGCTGAAACTAGATGAAAAAAAGAATCATATGAAACTTTCTTATTAAATACAAATTAAAGAAACATCAGGGATTATCTAGAATAATTTAAAGTTTTACTTTTCATAGTTATCAAATGTGTATGGAAAATGTCAAATGTTT